GGATGCCAGATTCCAGCTGAGACCGCCATCTGTGTCAATTGCAATGGCACCCATTTTGCTAATGACAAAGCTTGTCCTGAATTGGGCCGCCAGAAGAGCATCAAAGCTCTGATGGCTGAAAAATCAATTTCATATGCGGAAGCAAGCCAGGTTTTCCCTACTGTAAAAAGGTCTTATGCTGAGGTCTCAAGATCAGTCAACCTCATAGATCCATCTCCTATTAAAAAAACACCCCAACAAAGAGTCTCCTATAAAAAAACTATACACCTTAAACCTAAATCACATGCTCCCCTATCTCCTAGCTATGATAAGAAGGCCCATCAGGCCCTTATCCAAGACCACTCTTATTCCCCATCCAAAAACGGTTGCGCTTTCCCTGTGGAATCCGGAACCAACATTCGTAGCTCCAAGTACATTCTTAATATAGTTTCTGATATGCTCATGGCAGTACTATCAAACCCTGCCCAAACAGTACCGGACCACGTCGCACAAAAGCTTTCAACAATTCTTGATTATATTTGTAAAATTCCTACCTCTAACACTGCTTCAGTGGAACGTGAGGAGTACTCTTCCTGACTTACTCCACTTAATGAATAAATTTAAACCATCGATTTGTGGCATTGCTGAGACATGGCTTCGTCCGAATATCAATTTCGGGATCCCATGTTTCAGTGTTGTCAGACATGACAGATCTGATGGTTATGGAGGGTGTGCTTTGTTAATTAATAACAAAGTACCCTTCTCCCAGATCCCTCTACCCTTCGTTGGCGATGACATAAATGTTGTCGCTGTTAAGGCTGAGGACATAAATATATTTGTATTTTACATTGCTCACCCTCATGTTGACCACCTTATTTTGATTAAAAATTTACTTACCTCAGTAAGTGGCCCATTACTTGTTATGGGTGACTTTAACTCCCATCACTATAGATGGGGTTCAGATTTTTGTGATAATATGGGTAATGAGCTAGTTGAGATGCTGGACGAACTCGATCTGTGTGTCATTAATGATGGCAGCCCTACTCGTAGGTCTGCATTAGGTCAAAGAAACAGCTGTGTGGACTTGACCTTTTGCTCGCCTGTTATGGCTAGCGTGCTAAATTGGAGTTGTTTAAATTTGACCTATGGTAGTGACCACTACCCCATCATAATTAAACACCTGTCAAAATCCATCCCAGATAAACCCCTTCCCCCCCTATTAAGATATCGTTTAGATTCCGCAGACTGGGATCTTTACTCTAAATTATTAGACCTCCGCATTTCTCTCCTTCCACCAGTTAACAATGAGAATTCTTTGGAATGTTTCTCCAAATTTTCCGACCTGATATCCTCCACAGCCGAAGATTGCTTTCCTGTGAAAAATGCACCGAAAGGCAATATCCCTTCTCCACCATGGTGGGATAGTGAATGCACTGCCATGATAAGAGCTAGGAATGCGGCTGAAAAGACATATAACCAAGATATGAACCTGGAAAACCTCCTAAATTTCAAGCAAATTTTGGCTAAGTCAAGGAAATTGTTCAAGAAAAAGAAGAGACAAGGGTGGCAGAGATATTGTGGTTCACTAAACCCATCAACACCAATATCCAAAGTTTGGCAGAGAGTTAAAAATTTTAGGAACTCCACCAAACCTCCCACTATCTCCACCTTACCCGAATCTCTGAGTAACAGTTTTTTCAACAACATTGCTCCAACGTATGTTCCTACTGCAGATGAATGCTGCCTGAGATCCCATGAGATCGAGCGACCCGAGTCTCATGACCCGCTCGATTTGGAGTTCTCACCTGATGAACTTCAAACGGTACTCAATCATGTGAAGGACTCGGCACCAGGGATTGATGGGTTCCCCTACTCATTCCTAACTAAAGCAGGAACTAAAGCGAAGCAATACTACCTTGACTTGGTCAATTTTTGCTTTATTTCAGGCTATATTCCTCCTACCTGGAAGGTTCAGGTTATTATGCCGCTGTTAAAAGCTGGCAAGGACCCTGGTGACCATTTGTCGTACAGACCTATTGCCCTATCGTCCATACTTATTAAAACTTTTGAACACCTCATCAAAAACCGCCTTGAATGGTTGGTTGAGAGCCAGAGGCTGCTTCCGGCGACTCAGTTCGGCTTCAGGAAAGGTCTGGGTACGGCTGATAGTGTGGGTACCCTCACTTCAGCCATCCGACTGGCCCTTAGCAGGCAGGAGTCGTTGGTCGCAGTCTTCTTGGACATCTCAGCGGCCTATGATTCTGTCCTCTTACCCCTTCTCAGGCAGAAACTGCAAAAGCTGAGAATCCCGAGTAGGATCTGCCGAATTATAGCCCACATCCTTTCCGATCGTACCCTCCAATTAAGAACTCCTGAGGATAACCCAGTACGGAGGTCCTCCTGGAAAGGTTTACCTCAGGGGTCAGTCCTTAGCCCCATCCTTTATAACATTTATACATATGACCTTCCCTCCTGTCTAAATTTTAACTGTAATGTCCTTCAGTATGCTGACGATATCGCACTAATGGTTACTAACAGCTCTATAACAGACGCCGCCCACTCCATCAACGTCTCTTTGGCCTCATTAAACCAATGGCTTCTGAATCACGGGTTATCTTTAAGCGCCCCAAAAAGCTCAGCTGTCATTTTTACACGCAAACGACGCACTCCGGATCTTCGTGTAGAGATAGACGGTCAGGATATCCCAATCAAAAGCAGTGCTAGATTCTTGGGGGTTTATCTCGATTCAAAGATGTCTGGGGCGGATCACATAAACAATGTGGTTGCAAGGTGTGAACGCTCAGTATCGATACTCAGAGCTCTGGCCGGGGTATGGTGGGGTGCACACCCCTACTCATTGAAGCTCATCTATAATGCATTGGTCAGAAGTGTAATGGACTATTGTTGCTTCCTTATTGTTCCTTGCAATAAGGGTGCATTAAAAAAACTAGACTCCATTCAGGCCAAATGCCTTAGAATAATTGTCGGAGCTATGAAATCATCCCCCATAAATGCTCTTCAGGTTGAATGTGTAGAGCCTCCCCTCAACCTTCGAAGACAATACCTGGCAGACCGCTTCATCTCAAAAGTCCTCTCCCTCTCATCACACCCCCTTCTTCCTATCCTAGAACAAATCCACTGTTCCTATAGGTCCTCTTCCTACTGGAACAATAAACCTGTCCCTCCCGTGATTGTCAGGTACAGGGAGCTTAAAAACCTCTCTGCACCCATCAGGCAATATCCTGTACTCCCGGTTTTCTCTTCCGCATATGAGGTTATCCACTTCAGGCCAAAGGTAATTCTAGGACTCGGCATCTCGAAATCCTCCGTAGATGCTGCGGGCGAGTTTGGGCGCGCTTTGAACAGTTACTGGAGGGGCTGGAATATTTTCTTCACCGACGCGTCTAAACTATCCCGAAATGGAAGTACAGGAGTAGCAGCGTACTTCCAAAATTCGAAGATCGCCCTCCTCTCCAAGTGTCCCCCGGAAGCATCTGTCTTCACGGGAGAATGTGTTGGCATTTTAGAATCAATAAAATTTATTAGAGCACACAACCTTAGAAATTCTGTTATATTTTCCGACTCCCGAAGTAGCCTACAGTCTCTCAACCAAGACCAGCTCCATTCCCGAACTCATAGCAGTTTGGTTGTAGAGATAAAGGCGCTTCTTTTTTCTTGCTTCAAAGATGACATAAATATCGAGATCGCTTGGGTTCCTGGTCACTCTGGCATATGTGGTAACGAGTGTGCGGATTCATTGGCCAAATTTGCGGCCTCGAATGAGGTCGAACGCCAACACTACGTTGTGTACGGGTATGATATACGTGCCGACACAAAACACAAGCTGTTTGACTCATGGGCTGCAGTGTGGGTAGAAACTTCCAAACGGAAAGGTGCCTACTATGCAGTTGTCCAGCCCGGCATCCGACGGAAACCTTGGTTTTCCAAGTACCCTAAGCTTCCCCGTCATACTGTTTCATCCTTGTGTAGGCTCAGACTCGGCCATTGTAGTAGTCCGGTCTTCCTCAACAAGATCCGTGTCCGCGACAGCTCGCTGTGCGAATGCGGCCTTGATGAGGGAACCTTAGAACACATATTTTTTTCGTGTCCCTTAAATTCCCAATCCTTTGACCTCTACAAAAAACTCCCCAGTATCCAAATCCCACTCCCAATCAGTTTCCACCTCCTTTTAACTCACTTTTCCCACAAAGTAATTATTTATATATGTAAATTTATGAATGAAAATGAGATCAAAATGTGACGGTGTCCAATGATGTATATTAATATCTGTCTATATTGTGTATGTCCCCCAACTATTTTTTACACCACTGTATATATACAGTAAAATAGTTGATAATGTTTATGTTTTACTAACCCAATTGTTTTGTCCTTTCAGCTATTAACAACTAAAAACTACCGCAAAGTTAAGTTCGACGGTCCAATAATTTTGCCGTCACCACTCGACACTGGCAGTATAGTCGACAACACCATTTTGGAGACTCAGTTGCCAAAGAAGAAAAAAAAAAAAAAAAAAAAACTTTTGCATTCGATTGGAGACTCGGTTTCCAAAACAAAAGCAAAAATATATTTATTCGATTACAAAATGTAAATCGATTAAAGTTTTCCTTCAACTAATATATCTCATTACCAACATCAAGAAACAAAATAAAATTCTCAAAAGTCAAAAACACAGTTGCCAATAAAAACACGTAAAAATGCCAACATTTATTATTAAAAATAGAATCTTTGTTGTGTATAGTGTAGAATACGTTTAGTAATAATATATTTTCGTTTATTTTATAAAATGATACCTAGGATAGGATACAAAAAAAATCTGTACCCATTTATATGTGATATATTTTTTAGGCTGGAAACCATGGAACTTATTGTCAAACTAAATCAAATTTAATTTTCGTCCGTTGAGGCGTTGAGTTTTTTTGAAAAGTTTCCATTTTGTGGTACACACGAGAAATAATTTTTGTGTTCTTTTTGTTTAATTTGTTAAATTATTACTATCAATAATGTCTGAAAGAAACTCATCACGTTTGTCAGCGTACAAAAATGCTGGCCAAGGGACAAATGTAAGTTTTTAAACTATATTCGAAATTCAAAATCATGTGGTCGACAAAACACGATTGAGTTGAGAGTTCTTTGTTTTATTTTAATTTACGTATTTAATTTAAGCAAAGCTATAATTATCGATAAAGATTAAGTACATAATATAATTAGATATTGTTTTAGCTCAAAATATCGTCTACCTACGAATCCTTTGTTTGATGGAACTCAATTTCTTATATGTAAAGATTAGAGGGTAATAGTTAGCATAATCTGAATAGATGAATTTTGTCGAAGTCCCATGATTATTGAAAAAATCACACGTAAACTGCAAATAAGAATATAAAAGGTCATTGAATATCCTAGTAATAATTGGAAACACAGATCAATTTTAAATAAAATAAAGTAAAATTTGTTGCTCACTCCGCTGGCAAACCTTGCTCATTAAACTAATCAATTTCAGAATTCTAAACTCTAAAATATTAAAGTGAAAGTCAAAATCATTTATTTTAATAAGACCAGTAAGGTGCTTTTGAATGTCAACGAAAAAATTAAAAAGTAAAGCTATTAGCTCATTCCAAAGTGTAGATTCCTATGGAGAAGAATGAGCAAGAATTAGAAACTCCATAGGTTACTCTCTTTTTCAATCAGATTGACAATACAATTCTCTATAGTCCATCTGTTTAGGTAATTAACTAAAGGTAAACAAAGAAAACCACGTGACACAGAGATACTTAACCTACTATTACTTCAAATATTTCTCGTGTTTTAATTTTAACTAAATTCACTTTAAATTCGTTCATTTATCATACACACATATACAACTGCAAATGCCTAAATCGTACAAGGGTCTATTTCATTATCATGTTTAAATAGAAACTATTCTGAATCTGATGTACGGATTTCTTTCTTGTAGGGATATGTGTCTTTGGGCCAAGTTTCTTCAATATATTTGAACACATTAATTACAAACGATGAATAACCTAAACTTGAATAACTTAATAACAAAAACAAAACAAAGAAACAAGATAATTTCAACAAAATAGGAACGCGAGCGCAAACGACGAGAGAGCTGTCAATGGCGCCTGATTAACCGACTAAACGTAATACACGCTACTTTCATTGTCGCGCTACATCTTAGTTGTACTCTTTAATTTGACAACATTATTTGGCTTCATTCTTAAAGAAAAGTTTTGGATACCTGGGATTTTAGGCTCTTTATGGTGTCTATTGTAATGAAATGTTATACTATTTAATAAATGTTATTAAATTAATATCCTCAAGCAGATATATATAATATTTACTAAGAAATAAGTGAAAAGGGACAGAAACATAACATTTAATAGAGAAAACTGTCGTAAAAAGGGAAACAATTTTAGTTTCTTATGAAGTATTTTGAATCATGGAAATGTCAACTATAAAGAACTCTTTTTATGGTTTGTTTACAAATAGTTAACTACCTAAACAGACGGAGTATAGTCACATAGTTTTGTTGGTTCCATTGTGTGAGAACAATGTCACACCAAAATCCAGTCAAAGTTAACGCTGAATGCCTATGCATCATCATGTGATCCGTCTGCTTTTGCATTCTACACTATATAAAAAAAACACCTTTAGATTAACCCTTTGAGTACCGTCATTATAGACACCATTAAAGAACAATAGGTTGCGGTCACCGGTGCCCTCGTGCCCTCCAGTAAAGCTATTTGCTCGTTCCAAAGTGTAGATTCCTATGGAGAAGAATGAGCAAGAAACTCCATAGGTTACTCTTTTTCAATCATGTTCACAATACAATTTTTGGTTACATTCTTTCGTTCAATTCAATTATGTGAGAACAATGTAATACCAATATTTGGTTTGGCTAAACCGCGATATAGCTCTGACCATCATAAAACTCAAAACCATCACTTTATCTATTAGGATCTCCGCCGTAAGAGAGCAGAGCTCAGTGTGGCTCTGCGCAAGCAGGCTAGAGATGAACAGCTTCTCAAGAGAAGGGCGCTATCTCCTGAGGCAGGCGATGAAGTCCATGAAGAGGAAGTCAAGGTGCTTACCACTTCTGAGATTGTTCAAGGTAAAAACACTTTTTTCTGTGTCACATAAACCATCATACCTATTACACCTACTGTTGCACATCTCTGCATCACCCCATAGTTGACTGTTAGAGAATGCCACCTGGCATTAAGTCCGCCATCATATGCTTATTATACAGAAGTGTGAAAGTGTTAAATAAATAAATAAATAAAACACTTATTCGCAACACTTATTTCAATTTAAAATGGAAAATAATAACTAATAATAAGTAAAGCAAGGAGTCTTGGGTTCGATTCCTGAGTCAGGCAATGTACTACTGGGTTTTTAAAAAATTCTCAGTGGTAGCACGGAGTCTGGAAATGTGCCCGGTATATGGCAATAGGCTCACCCCCTATTACATGGGACTCATAATGTAAATAATGAAAAGTAGGTGTTACATTGTACAGTGGCATTAAGTACTGTGGACTTCTGCCTACCCCATCAGGGATAAAAGGGATGATGTTTTGTTAAGTTGAAGATTATATGGCAAAATTTATACACACTTCAATAAAATCCACCTTCTTGCTGTCACTAGGTCTTCGCTCCAACGACCTGGCAACTATGACGGCAGCAGCGCGGGCAGCTCGTCGCACGCTCTCTAAGGAACAGAATCCTCCCATCTCCACCATGGTGGCTGCTGGAGTCATCGGACCATTGATAAATGCTCTGGAGCGAGATGACTGGTGAGTTACCATATAGAATTGTTTGATCTACTTCTGATTGCTGTGTCATGACAGCAAAGTAGGAAGCAGGTTTACCTTAGGGAAAATACGGCTCTGGGGATTTAGGAAACTTCTCATTATAAAATGTCCCTTCATCATCAATACGGTAGTTGACAGGTACCTAGTCAAATTCAATACTTTTATTGAAATGTCATAAACGATAATTTTCTATGAATTTTGTATTGGATCGCAACTTATGACGTCAGCATATTTCAGCGTCAAATAGCATACTTATTTCCTTAAAATTAGCGAGAAAAAATCCAAAAGTAGGTAAATAGTCAAATCAATGGATGAGAGTATGATTATTGTTTAATTATTTATTGCATTGAAAAGTTAAAACAATTTATTTTAAACCTAGAAACCTAGCCACTTATCATCAACAGCCTATAAAGTCTATAAGCCACTGCTGACCAAAGGCCTCTTCTCACACGGAGAAGGATTGACCATTAATCACCAAGCTTGCTTAATGCGAGTTGGCGATTTCAAACTTGTATTTAGAAATTGTTAACCCAGGTTTCCTCACGATGTTTCCTACGCTGTTTGTCAGTAATGTCTAGAGAATCTTAGAACATACTATTTTTATGTTTGTTGGGCTGACGTTTGACCACTATCTCGCCTGGTGGTAAGCGATGATGCGGTCTACGATGGAGCACGTCGTCCCATAAGCAACCTATTCACACGGGCCTTGAAGACACCCAGGTTACCTATAACTCGGAAAAAGTCTCAGTGGTACTTGCCGTTGGTAGGTTTCGATCCCGCACCCTCATGCATGAGAAGTGGGCGTCTTAAACCTCCGGGCCACCACGACGCGAGACTTACTTACTTAATTATTATGTTTCCGGCTTTCTCACGTACACACGGCTATACATCGAGCTTTACATAACCAGTATAAACTGAACGTTAAATGTGCGGAAAGATGATGCGACGCGACACCAGGATAAACTGGTTTTGTATAGACTGATGTGTGGCCGTGTGTACTTGTTTGTTTACGAGGAACTCTACTAGATTCAAGCCATGCTAGAGGCTCATATTCATGAGCAGCATTCCGCGACCCGCGACAATGACAAGTACAATGACGTGGTGGCATTACCACGTCATTGTACCTGTAGGTACCTACAATGTCCCTTGCAACTCCTCAAGTAATATTTTTTTGCGTTATGTATTTCAGCACAGACCTGCAGTTTGAAGCAGCGTGGGCGCTCACTAACATCGCGTCTGGTACCCACGAACATACCATGGCTGTTGTCGATGTAAGTTCATTTATATCATGCATTTTATTCTTTAAACCAAAACATTCGCTTAGATAAACGATCTTTCTTTCGTCTTTCTTTCTTTCTTTCTTCTTTCTTTCTTTCTTTCTTCTTTCTTTCTTTCTTTCTTTCTTTCTTTCTTTCTTTCTTTCTTTCTTTCTTTCTTTCTTTCTTTCTTTAACCTTTTGACCGCCGCAGTCACCGTGTATGTACTTAAAAATCAAGTTTTCTTGTCGGCTGTGGCCGATCGTGACGGATCACGTCATATCTTGTTTGTCAAATGTGGTAGGCAGAGGTATACTTAAGATAGAGGCACTTAACGAGTAAAATTATTAGCTCAAATGATAAACAAGGAACTTCATTTATTGAACATTTTGACAGACTTATAGGCTTCATAACATGGCTTTGAATCTTTCTAAGGGGTGGGTAGACAATCACAAATGAGGTATCCATTTATTTTACGCCATATGTCTAGGTGGCACTGATCGCAAGTGCGACTACCGGGCATGGGTTCTCGGGTTCGATTCCTGGGGCGGGCAAAGTATTACTAGGTTTATATAAAAATCTCAATAGTAGCACGAAGTCTGGAATTGTGCCCGGTATATGGCAATAGACTCACCCCCTATTACATGGGACTCATAACATAAATAGTGAAAAGTGGGTGTTACATTGTACAGTGGCATTAAGTGCCGTAACGTGTACCTCTGCCTACTCCTTCGAGGATTATATTTACATACATACATAACTTCACGCCTGTCTCCCATGGGCGTAGGCAGAGACTACGGAACGCCAATTACTACGATTCCTACATACCTCTTTCGCTTCATCAACAGTCATCAATCTTTTCATGCATGCTCGTCGGTTAAGGGTACTTTTAATTTATTATTTTTCTCCTTAGGGTGGTGCAATCCCAAAGCTAGTTGCCTTACTAGCTCGCGGCGGATCAGTAGGCGAGCAAAGTGCTTGGGCACTCGGCAACATTGCAGGCGACGGGCCTCAAACCCGGGACTCCGTGCTGGCTCATGGAGCGCTGGCTGTGTTGTTACCGCTCATGACTTGTACTACTCCGGCCAGTCAGCTCCGCACTGCTGTTTGGACTTATAGTAATTTCTGCAGGTAATTTTTGATACATTTTTTGGATGCCTTCTATGCTAACTCGATCACTGCTACTCCTGTACTCCGGGTTCCAGGATCTTCAGTAAATTTTTTTATGGGATAAGTCTGTAAACGAGCTGACGGATCACCTGATGGTAAGCAATCGGCGCCGCCCATGGACACCTGGAACACCAGAGGAGTTACAAGTGCGTTACCGGTCTTTTGGGGATTGGAATTTTGAGGATTTAAGGATTGGGGAGATTGCTCAGAGGGGTAATTAGGCCTCCAGTAACCACACTTACAAGACGAAACACAACGCTGTGGTTGTTTCACTATGATTTTCTGCTTATTGATGATATCACTCCGGTCGAGCCGGCCCATTCCTGTTGAAGCATGGATCTCCCACTCTTATTTTATTCCATACTAGCTTTTACCCGCGGCTTCGCTCGCGTCATAAAAGGATAAAGAGTAGCCTTTGTGACATATACCAATACACACAGCGCCATCTATACCAATACTTTTGTTTTCCCTCGGGAATATCACATTTTCCGGGATAAAAAGTACCCTATTATTTAATTCGGACTTCTAACTTTACGTCTGTAAAAGTTCAAAGCAATCGGTTTAGTAGTTACGGCGTGAAAGCGGAACAAACAAACAAACAAACGCACTTTCCGATTTATAATATTAGTAAGGATATGACGTTCAAAAGTGCCGTTCTGGTCTAATTGAAATAAATGATTTTGACTTTGACTTTGATACATATAGTAAAATATTGTTTTATAGGAACAAGAACCCGCTAGTAAAGTTTGAGTATGTGTCTCCCGCTCTGCCGTACATCGCTGATCTCCTGGAGATCCCTGACCAAGATGTTTTGGGTAAGTACTTAATACATAATTCAACGACTGCCTCGTTGGCCGAGTGGTCGCAAGTGCGACTGTCGGGCAAGGGGTCTCGGGTTCGATTCCCGGGTCGGGCAAAGTATTACTGGGTTTTAAAAAAAATCTTAGTAGTAGCACGGAGTCTGGAATTGTGCCCGGTATATGGCAATAGGCTCACCCACTATTACATGGGACTCATAACATAAATAGTGAAAAGTGGGTGTTACATTGTACAGTGGCATAATGTGCACCTCTGCCTACCCCTTCGGGGATAAAAGGCGTGATGTCATATATATATATATATATATATATATATATATATATTTACATCCTGGAATCGTTTTGGCGTCACACACGTCGCGCATCATTATGACGTCCCCCAGTTCCCCTTAATTTTTTTTATATGTCTTGATGAATATTGCTTAGTTATTCGATTTCCAGCTTTGTAGGATACGTCATTTTCCGATAATTTTATTTTTCGCGATATTCTTCTTGCAGTCATGCTGCAACATTTTTGAACCCCAAACCATCGTGATAACTAATTGGGCTCCTAGATATATTGATCGTGATTTAACCATGGCTTCGGCTAACTAACGTCCTCACAGCGTGGATGGTATTTGCGAGTGCAACGTTGCCAGCTTTGGGTTCACTTGTCTCTTTCTTTTCCTCTCTCTTGTCACTCGTCGGGGACAGAGTTTTAATAGTATTACAATATTCGTAAAATCTATCAATACATATACTAATGCCCGATATTGGTATAATATTGGTAACAAGATGCAAAAAAATTGAGGTTTCTAAGAGATTTTTACATGAGAAGATGCCGCAGTAGGCATAACATATTTTTTTAATGTTTGCCTAGTCTATTCTGTACATAAATACAAATCGGTTCAGCCCGTATGTGATCGGCGCGGCGTACCGGTTTTACAAATTTATCTAAAGAAAGAAACTCAGAACTCAATTTTTATTTCAAAGCAAGTAAGAGTAAAATACGTGAAAGTTTCTTCCCCAGCGGTCATCATGTAAGATCATCTATAACTGTGAAAGATCATCTAGCTATTGGGCATCCGTATATCATCATCAGCCTATTTAAGTCCACTGCTGGACTAGCACCATCTACTGGGCTACGTTAGGAATTCAAAAATGGTCATGCAAATTTCAGTTGACTCAAACGCTATGGTCATCAAGTAAAAAGCTACATCACTATACTGCTCACACACGGAAATGGGAGGTCCGTTGATTGCGGATCCTGACAATTGACATGGTAATGGCAGGGGTTTCTTGCGGAGCCTGACGATGGCCATGCGCGCGAAGAAAGTTTCTTCCTCAGCAGGTATCATGTAAGATCACTTAGCTATCGAACATCCGTATATAGCTATTGGGCGTCCGTATATAGCTATTGAACGTCCATATATAGCTATTGGGCGTCCGTATATAGCTATTGAACATCCACGTACTTCCTCAGCAGGTGTCATGTTAGATTTGAGGATTGGCTTGAGAGACAGAGACGCTACGGCGTCGTTATCTACCGCCTGACGCAGGTGCTTACCGGTCACGGAATTTTCGGTAGGTTCCTGCTTCGGATTGGGCGGGAGGAAACGCTCGGGTGTCATCATGGCGAGGGCCACCCGGGGGACACGGTGGAGCATACGGTGGCAGTGTGCCCTGCGTGGGCTGAACACCGTCGTGTCCTCAGGAATGTGATCGGCGACGGCGACCTCTCGCGTCCGACACTGGTTCAGACCATGGTGCAGAGTGAGGGAGACAGGGATGCCGTCTCCTTCTTCTGCGAAGCAGTCCTGCTAGCTAAGGAGGAGGCGGAGCTCGTGACGGAACGAGCCTCCTCACGCTCCAGCCGTCACGAGAGACACTCCAGGCGTCGGGGATCGCGAAACGGTCTCCATCCACCGTAAGCACGGGCCTGCGGTCGGCGAGCACGGATGACTTGCCGCCCGATCAGAACCAGACCCGAACGTACGGCGCGTCGCGTTCCGCATACGCCCCAAGGAGCCATCAGACCACCACGGATGGAGCTGAGGCCCATACGGAGCCACAGAGGACTTAAAGGGTGACCGGGGCTCCGACTCGAAGTGCAGGAATAGGAACGGGGTGGTTTTAAGTCAGTAAGAGTCGGAAGGTACCTGTGTCTGATGGGGCGGGAGGAAACGTCCGGGTGTCATCACTGTGAGGACCGCCCTGAGGACACGGTGGAACACACTATAGCGGAATGCATTGCGTGGGCTGAGCACTGCCGTACCCTCAGGGAAGTGATCGGCGATGGCGACCTCTCGCGTCCGGGCCTAGTGCAGGCCATGATGCGGAGTGAGGGGGACTGGGATGCCGTCTCCTCCTTTTGCGAAGAAGTCAAGCTAGCTAAGGAGGAGGCGGGACGCATGAGGCAGCGAAGCGCTGCTTCCTCGCAACCCAGCCATCGCGAAGGACACGCCGGGCGTCGGGGATCGCGGGACGATCTCCGGCCACCGCGCGGGCCTGCGGACGGCGAGCATGGGTGGCTCCCCTTCCGACCAGAAACAGACCTGAACGTGCGGCGCGTCGCGTTCCGCACGCGCCTCAAAGAGCCATAAAACCACCACAGATGGGGCCCAGTAGGGCCGATGCCGAGTCGGAGTCGCGGAGAACCTAACGGGTAACCGGGGCTCCGGCTGGACGTGCAGGAAAAGGAACGGGGTGGTTTTTAGTCAGTAAGAGTGACACTCCCTCCCGCCTTAACAAGGCGGGAATCGATGATTTTCCCCGCTTAAAAAAAAGTCAGTAAGAGAAACTTCCTCTGAAACTTCCACTCGCCTCACCAGCGCGGCCACCGGCGGCCGGCGGCAAAAGGCATTGGATGATTTTTTATCCCTCAAAAAAGCTATCATGTTAGATCACCTAGCTATTGATCGTCAGTATATTGCTGTTGAACGTTCGTATATAGCTATTGGGCGTCCGTATATAGCTATTGAACGTCCGTATATAGCTATTGGGCGTGCGTATAGCTTGGGCGTCCGTATAGCTATTGAACGTCCACGTATAGCTATTGGGCGTCCGTAATTAGTAAAGATAATAAGAATATATCTTATTACTAGAATGGTTTTATTAAGTATATATCTTCAAAACTTCTTTCATTTAGGCTGGTTTCAGAGCTAAAGGATTGGGCAGCGCTGCTGAAATGCCTCGCGCTTGGAGATGATGAGAGCTCTAGCATCGTTTTATTGCGACGCGACTGTCATAGAGGTAGAGATCCCAGTAGAGGACTTTATCGCTAGAAATTATGATCTATGAGATACACTTTTATTTTAATCTAAACCTTAAGTTAACTGATCTTTGTGCGCAAATATTGTATTGAATTTCAATTTCATTTAAGGCAAGATTTCTAATTTAATACTTCTAGTTGTGGCCACTCGATTAACTCCTCTATTGGATTGTTGCCTGATGCCTCTATTGTTGAAGCCCGCGCTTCAGCCGCGCTGCCCATTTCCCCTAGCTTAGAAACCAGCTCTAATTGTATCAAATATTTAATTGGCAGCTTATTGATATGAAGTTACCAATTCTAAGTAAGCAAATAAAAACAAAGAATATGGATATCATTTTACTGCCTCGTTGGCCGAGTGGTCGCAAGTGCGATCGCCTGGCAAAAGTCTCGGGTTCTATTCCCGGGTTGGGCAAAGTATTACTGGGTTTTTTCAAGAGTCTGGAAGTGTGCCCGGTATATGGCAATAAACTCACCCCCTATTACATGGGACTCATAACATAAATAGTAAAACTGTGGATATTACATTGTACAGTAGCATTAAGTGCCGTAATGTGCATCTCTGCTTACTCCTTCGGGGAAAAAGGCGTGATGTTATGTTATGTTAAATATGGATATCACTTTTAATGAAATGTTTATGTTTTGTAATCAAAAACATTTATAATTCCTAATTGGATCTTTATAACACGCCAAGGCTAGAGAAATAAGAAGAAACGTTGATTGATTTGATCAGTAATACAACATAAATTAATTATTCAGTGTTAGATGCATCTTCTAACCACATAAATAGATAAAGTTAATAAAATTACGTCAAAATTTATACGGAGACAATACTATCTAAATACACATTTAATACGAGTTATACTCTGGTTAACCTTTTTTGTGGTAAGACATATATTTTTGTCACTTTAGTACTTATTTCTAAGATCCCTTTAAGGAATTAATTTATACCCTCATCTATTATAATATATCACTGATAGGTACTCATTTACAAATTGAGAACAGGGTTGCAGATAAGTTGTCGTAAGTTGCAATCACATGATTATAATAAAATCGGACTCCAAATAATACGCAACGCATCCGAAATGTACGACGATGAATATTGTTTTGAATGCGGTAGATAATATTCTGATCTATTGAGACAGATTTAATGAGCGAACTGGCAACGTCGCTGTTATTTTTTTGAGGACGCCAAATACGCGGACTTATACTCAGAAAATCCCAAAAATATACAGCTGTGGATATACGCGCTACAGCAGCGCTCTATCGGCGCTGAGATTTCTTTGGGAACTTTTCAAAATACTATAACAGCCATTGAACCGATCTTTTGGACTCTGTCGATTTTTAACCTACGTGTAGCCAGGACCAAAAGGACCTAAGTTGCATAGGCCAACAAAGTGGCGTCCAGTATGCGGACGCCAAAAGCTGGTGGACGCCAGATTAAATGCACTTTCGCCTTCATGGGACGTCCAATCGATAGCGGGATGTAAATATATATATATATATATATATATATATATATATATATAAATATATAATTCAACATTGGTTTACTTAAAGAAGGTAATCAGTGTTCCCTTGAGGTAAAAAGTAGTGGTATGTGTTACTCGATGACGTTAAAGTGGCTGAAGGGATCGGGATAAAATTTGGAATAGGGGTAGGTTATGGTCGGCAATCAATAACAATAGGTTAGTTAGGTTCGTGGAGTCCAAGTGCCCATACATTATTCAAAAACGCCCAGTCGACGCATCTCGTGACCAGAGGGCTGGTCTTTTTCTCGGTCAGAGGTTAAGCATTGCCATACAACGTGGCAATGATGCCAGCCTTCTGGGTACTTTCCCTACTGACGTTGATACCGACGAATTTTTCGATGCTCTGTGTAAATAGTTTTAGTTTTTATCTTTTTGTATCTTAAGTTGTATTTTTTTTAATGGGACAAGCCCGCCACAACCTCCCAAAACCGCTGCAACTCCTGTAAGCCAGGATCTACAGTAGATACAACCATGAAAACACCGGAACACTGAAGTCCGGCGCGTCACAGGGACATTAGTAACTGTCTTGGTTCCCGCAACGAAGTGAATCAGAAGATATTATAAGAGAAGAAGAAGAAAAAACTATAGTTTCCACTTCCCTCGGTGAATTACTGCAGGAGACAAAATGAATTAAGCCTAAAGGCACAAAGAAGAGACTACAACTGGGTGAAGCCCAGTTGCCAAGCACCACGGAAATTTGACTAAAAAACTAAGTGTTTAAAAACATTGCCCCACATTAGGATTTCCTCCTGTGTCGTGTGTACGTTTACAAACATACAAGTTCACATACACGTATACACAGACAAGAAACTACAATTAGATTACAAAGAGTTGTTCTGTGCGGGAATCGAAACCGCTACACGTTGCACAGCAGCCAGTTGCCCAGCAACAGCGCCAACCGTACAGTCTAATTGTATGTTTACAAGATTATCATATTTATTATAACTGGCGGTGCCGCGAGCGCGCACTAAGTTACTGAGCGAGGCGCCTCTGACTCGCACTCAACCACATAGCTGAAGACGTTGATATGTTTTATTGCACTCTGAGTGAATTCACTAAAGTAGCACTTCTAAGCATTTGTTACGATTAGTTAGTTAAAAATCTAGTTTGTAATTTAGATATAAGAAACCTCAATATCGATTTGGGTTAGTCTGTAAGGATATTGCTGGGAATAAAATAAAAAAATTAAAAAAAATGTCCATTTACAGCGGACGCATGCTGGGCACTCTCCTATCTAACCGATGGTCCTAACGAGCGCATAGAGTCAGTGCAAATGACACCGAACCTGCTACCCCGAGTAATAAGATTGCTGAACCATAACTCGGCTGCCGTCAGGACGCCGGCTTTGAGAGCTATTGGGAACATGCTTACAGGGTCTGATGAACAGGTAAATATTAAATTGATTTGTATATTTTTTTCTGCCTCGTTGGCCGAGTGGTCGCAAGTGCGACTGCCGGGCAAGGGGTCTCGGGTTCGATTCTCAGGTCGGGTAAAGTATTACTGGGTTTTTAAAAATTCTCAGTAGTAGCACGGAGTCTGGAATTGTGCCCGGTATATGGCAATAGGCTCACCCCCTATTACATGGAATTCATAACATAAATTAAATAGTGATAGTGGGTGTTACATTGTACAGTAGCATAATGTGCACCTTTGCATAATGTGCACCTTTGCATAATGTGCACCTTTGCCTACCCCTTCGGGGATAAACGGCGTGATGTTATGTTATATTTTTTGCCTTTACACGAATGTGGGGCCGTTCAAGTATTACGTAAGCACCAAGGGGGGGTGGGGGGGTCTCTGTTTTGCTTATTTTGGATGTTTAAAAACATTGCCCCACATTAGGATTGTCCCCTGTGTCGTGTGTACGTGTACAACCATACAAGTTCACATACACGTACACACAGACACGGAACTACAATTAGATTACAAAGAGTTGTTCTGTGCGGGAATCGAAACCGCTACACGTTGCACAGCAGCCAGTTGCCCAGCAACAGCGCCAACCGTACAGTCTAATTGTATGTTTACAAGATTATCATATTTATTATAACTGGCGGTGCCGCGAGCGCGCACTAAGTTACTGAGCGAGGCGCCTCTGACTCGCACTCAACCACATAGCTAGCACGGAGTCTGGAATTGTGCCCGGTATATGGCAATAGGCTCACCCCCTATTACATGGAATTCATAACATAAATTAAATAGTGATAGTGGGTGTTACATTGTACAGTAGCATAATGTGCACCTTTGCATAATGTGCACCTTTGCATAATGTGCACCTTTGCCTACCCCTTCGGGGATAAACGGCGTGATGTTATGTTATATTTTTTGCCTTTACACGAATGTGGGGCCGTTCAAGTATTACGTAAGCACCAAGGGGGGGTGGGGGGGTCTCTGTTTTGCTTATTTTGGATGACATGGGGGGTGGGGGGGTCTAGATGATGATTACGTCACCGTTAGTTATTCAAGTTTTTTCGGGGATTCCCGCAAATAATACATATGCGTAGGCACTCGCTTTGAGAACTGATTAGGGGAATTACCGCGCATTAGGGAAATTACCGTGCGCTATTCACTTGTCTAATAATTCGCTCTCGTGCCGGCCGCAAGCTGCAAGTGCGCATCTATCAGTATTGTTTTGTTTGGATTCTAAACGTATTGTAAGCATTGAAAGTTATCATTTGTGTTTATGTTGATGCAATTAGCCAAAGTTTAACGTTTTAATTATTTAAATTTAAATATCTTATTAGAATGTCATATCATATAGACAAATCCAAGTTATACCAAAAACTGTTCGAAAGTTTTAAAAAATCTCATACTGGGACAAAATCGGATGAAAATGAGCAGACTCACAACACTGAGCAGCAATCCAATGTCATCGATAACTTAGAATCATGGATTCAGGTTTCATGGACTGAAGACTGTTAATGTGTTCCGAAAATATTCTTTATGTTAGTTATGTTCTTTATTTCTGATTATATTTTTTGTCATTTACTCTATGTGTATCAGTTAAACCTAATATTTCCATGAATTTTCCTATTTTAAAAATAACAATATAAAAAAAACATTTATTACTAAAAATGTTTACGTAAGCATAGGGGGAGGGAGTAAGTGCTTTGCTTATTTTTTATGACAAGGGGGGCGGGGGGGTAAAAAATGGTAAGAAATCTGCTTACGTAATACTTGAACGGCCCCTGTCTAAATACTCAAACTCAAGATGATTACTTGAATAGATAATGCGTATTTAAGCCATGCTTCGGCACGAATGGGCCGGCTCGACCGGAGTGATACCACGGCCAAGCAGAAAACCGACGTGAAACAACGCATGCACTATGTTTCGCCGTGTATGTGAGGTTACCGGAGACCCAATTACCCCCTCTTCCCCAATCTCTCCAATCCCTTAATCCCTAAACTCCTAATCCCCAAAACGCCTATAAGTTCCAGGTGTCCATTGGCAACGCCGATTGCTTACCATCAGGTGATCCGTCTGCCCGTTTACCGGCTTATGCCATATAAAAATAACATATTTAACTTTGTTTACAGACAGACCGCTGCCTAGACGCAGGCTGCCTACCCCACATTATAACCCTACTCCGCTGCAACAAACCGTCCCTCATGAAGGAGGCGGCCTGGGCTGTCAGCAATATACTAGCGGGCACTCAACCCCAGATAGAGAGGGCTATTGGGGCGGGAGTGCTGGAACATCTACTCCATGTGCTTTCTATTGATGATATTAAGTAAGTATATGCTTTTTAAGGGGGTAAAATCATTCAATGATTTGTCCCGCCTTGGGCAAAGTCAGTGTCAGACTCTTACTGACTAAACACAACCCCGTTCCTACTTCTGCAAAGAGCTGGAGCCACGGTAACCTGTCAGGATATCCACAGCCTACGGATTTATATCTTACTAGCTTTTACCTGCGGCTTCGCTCGCGTCACAATAAGATAAAAAGTAGCCTATGTGACATATACCAATACACACAGCGTCATCTATACCAATACTTTTGTTTTCAATCGGGAATATCACATTTTTCCAGGATAAAAAGTACCCTATTATTTAATCCGGACTTCTAACTTTACGTCTGCAAAAATTCAAAGCAATCGGTTTAGTAGTTACGGCGTGAAAGCGGAACAAACAAAAAAACACTCACTTTCCGATTTATAATATTAGTAAGGATTTATATTGCTTTTACTGCTTCGTTGGCCGAGTGGCCGCAAGTGCGACTGCCGGGCAAGGGGTCTCGGGTTCGATTTCCCGATCGGGCAAAGTATTACTTGTTGGGTTTTTAACAATTCTCAGTAGTAGCACGGAGTCTGGAATTGTGTCCGGTATATGACAATAGGCTCACCCCCTATTACATGATAGGACTCATAATATAAATAGTGAAAAGTGGGTGTTACATTGTACAATGGCGTAATGTACACCTCTGCCTACCCCTTCGGGTCTTTAAAAGACGTGATGTTATGTTATATTGCTTTTATGTAAAGGATTGGACACAGAAAGCTTCAAGCAGAGACGAGTGGAAGGTGGGTAGGGAGGCCTTTGCCCTGTAGTGGGACGACCATGGCTAACAATAAATAAATAATATTTGTTGTACTCTGGGTGAATTCACAAGGAATGCATTATATGTAATATGCTATAGGTAGATATTAAGATGAGCACATTTATCGCATTGGGCATTAACCTGTAAAGATAAATGTAAGTGGAATAAATAAATAAAAATAAATATTGAGTGCTCGGTATCCGCGGTGGCTGGGCAATTGGCTGCGCAACGTGTCGCGGGTTCGATTCCCGCACGGAACAACACTTAGTATAGTTTACGTATACGACAAAATTAAAAAAATACGTGTCTAATATTTTTTAATTACCTAACTGACGGATTAATTACATTTTTAATTTTCATACCCTGTAATCATCCCTATTTTATTGATCTGTATAGATCATCATTGTATAATATGATATCGGCCAAATTCAAAGTCAAAGCATTTATTTCAATTAAACCATAGTTTGGTACTTTTGAAACAACAACAAATACAAAATAAATAAAAGTCTGTCAGTCAGTCCGTCAGTGAAGCTAGGTGAAGCTAGGTGCTCATTTCAAAATGTAGATTCGAATGGCGAAGAACGAGCAAGAAACTCCATCTACTATATAAAAATAAGTCGGGTTTTCCTTCCTGACGCTATAACTCCAGAACGCACGAACCGATATCCACGGTTTTGCATTCGTTGGAAAGGTCTCGGGCTCCGTGAGGTTTACAGCAAAGAAAATTCACTAATCACTAAACGAAATTTTACATAAAACGAAACCATCTGGTTTGCTAGTGCCTTATGTAAAATTCGCATTAACCAATTTGTTTCATTCTAGATGCCGTAAGGAAGCAGCGTGGGCGATAACGAACCTCTGCCTGGGTGGTACTCCGGAACAACTGGACGCACTGCTGTCAGTCGGGTTCCTGGAACCTTACTGCGCACTGCTCAACGCTCCTGATCATAGAGCTATATCCGTTGTGCTGGACGGACTTACTAATTTATTGCAGGTTTGTCTATGTTATTTATGTACTAGCTTTTACCCGCGGCTTCGCTCGCGTCACAAAAGGATAAAAAGTAGCCTATGTATAAAAAAGTGGCCTATGATTAAAAAATCACGTTAATTAGTACCTCCGTTCTGCCGTTTAAGACAGGCAAACAAACGAATAGCTTTCCGCTCGCGTGGAATTCGGTTATATCGCGCTATTTAGATTTTCCAATAAGTAGGTAGTTCGTTGACTGGTTTTAAATAACATACAACGCCATCTAAACCAGTACATACAGCGCCATCTATACCAATATTTTTGTTTTTCCTAGGAAATATCTTTTTTTTTCCGGGATAAAAAGTACCCTATTATTTAATCCAGACTTCTAACTTTACGTCTGCAAAATTTCAAAGCAATCGGTCTAGTAATTACGGCGTGAAGGTGGAACAAACAAACAAACAAACTCACTTTCCAATTTATAATATTATATTAGTAAGGATAATATGACTGCCTCATTGGCAGAGTTGTTGCTAGTGCGACTGCTTGGTAAGGGGTCTCGGGTTCGATTACCGGGTCGGGCAACGTAAAAAATTGTCAGTGGTAGCACGGAGTCTGGAATTGTGCCCGGTATATGGCAATAGGCTCACCCCCTAAATAGTGAAAAGTGGATGTTACATTGTACAGTGTCATTAATTGCCGTAATGTGCACCTCTGCCTACCCCCCCCCCCACCTTCGGGATAAAAGGCATGATGTTGTATTATAATATCCAGCTATTGCCAGCTACTACGCACAAATAGGTGATTCATGTTCCCGTGGAAATTCAGAACGAAAACGTCTCTTATCACCAGTGACAACAGTATATATTACATTGAAGTTTAAGTAAATTAGCTCACCTTTTTCCGATCACTGCTTATCACTGAAACGCTACTCAAATGTAAGCTGTATGTCATTTTGCAAAGAATTTGTATTGACTGACAGAACTATACTTAACCCTCGTGAGACATACTAAATAAATTATTGTTTTCGGCTTACTCACGTACCTGTTTGACAAGGCTCTACTAGTTTCAAGCCATGCTAGAGGCTCATATTCATGAACATCGAATACCTCGTCAAATTATTACGTGTCTAAATATTGGAAATAAGGTCTATAATGTTGTTTGTAAACGTACACACGACACAGGAGAAAAAACCTAGTGTTGGGGGCATTTTATTCAAAAAAAGGATAATAGAAAGAAAGAAAGAAAAATAATTTATTTGGTACAACACCAGGCACAAACACAATACAATAAATACAATGCAAACAAAAAATTAGGAGTGAAATAAAAAAAAATAAGATAAGACAAAAATAGATGTAGGTAGGTATATACAAAATTTAAAAATACCAACAATAATCATGTGCCCGATAGCTGCACCAAAAAAGGTTCAGTTCAGCATAAATGCCAGACATCTAGTGCCTGACGCTGGTTTTCAACTGAACCTGTGGCTGTAACGCAACGGACGTAACAGTTGTTGAACAAGTACATTATTTTCATAATATATTTACAGGCGGCAGTGAAATATGGACAGATTGAAGCTCTGTGCTTGAAGTTAGAAGAGAACGGTACATTGGATCAGATCGAGAATCTACAGCAACATGAGAATGAACAGGTATGTGGAAAATACTTTTTAACCGACTTCAAACAAAAAGGAGTTCTTTGTTTGACCTGTGTTTATGTTTGCGGATGATTACCTTGCGACTGACTGAACTGATTTTGATGCGGGTTTTTCAGAAAAGTTTTTACTACACTTAGGAGAAGGTTTTAGTATATTAATTAAGCAACTTCAAAAAAGAGGGGGTTGATGTCGGTTTTGACGTGACAACGTCTTATAAATTGGTTTGCCGGGTGACACATCAAGAAACTGCGTTACGCTCCGCTCACGTTATGCGCTCACAATGAGAGCGAGTGAGAGGCACGCGTCCCTTCCACTCGGGCATGGTTAGCCCGCCTAAGAGCTAGAGAGACAGACATAATATTTTACCACTCAAAGTCGTTGTCACGTAAAACTTTCGCCCGTATACCGACTTTACAGGCAACCAATTTTTTGTTTTAAACGTAGTTTCTGCCTCGTTGGCCGAGTGGTCGCAAATTCGACTGCAAGGAATGTGGTGTTCGATTCCTGAATCAGGCAAATTTTACTGGATTAAAAAAAATCTCAGTAGTAGCATGGAATCTAGAATTGTGCCCGGTATATGGCAATAGGATCACCCCCTATTATATGGGACTCATAACATAAATAGTGAATAGTGGGTGTTACATTCTACAGTGGCATAATGTGCACCTCTGCCTACCCCTTCGGGGATAAGAGGCATGATGTTGATGTTATGAAATTATACAAATAATTTTCCTATCTTTTCAGATATACAAAAAAGTTCTGCACATCTAGACACATACTTTGCTGAGCAAGATGATCCTAACGCACAGCCAACTCAGACCGAAGAAGAATATCAGTTCGGAACTACAGGGGGACAGAATATCAACTTCTAATACCTCAACTGTATTTAATTTTATAGTCATCACAGCTATTAGTACCGTAAAATAGGGTGAATAGGCAATGAGAGGTGAATAGAGACAAAAGAGGGGTGAATATATATTGGGAAATTTTTTATAGTATCGATTCACCCGTCAATCTGTCTCTGTTCACCTCTCGATCCCTAGTCACCCCATTATACCATATGCAGATGATAAAATAAGGATTGACTCAATACGAAATAAAGTGAGAAAGTGCCATGCTTCGGCATGAATAGGCCGGCTCGACTGGAGTGATACCACGGCCGAGCAGAAAACCGACGACCAACTATCACACTCCATGATTCATTTTCATTCATTCCTCATTTTCCTAATCGCCAAAAGGCCGGTAACGCATTACCAACTTAACACTAACAACTTGTAACGCCTCTGGTGTTCCTGGTGTCCATGGGCGACGCCGATTACTTACAATCAGGTAATCCGTCTGCTCGTTTACCGGGTTATCCCATAAACAAAAATACAGAGACAGTAGCTATTGTAACTAAATTGTATGCTTTGTAACGAAGCCATGTCTTCTGTAACTCAGTCGGCTCTAAACAACCAATGGCTACTGTCTCTGTACTGAATCAATCTTGATTTTCTTATCTGCATACTAAAAAGCAGTGCTGTGCCTTTATTATGTTTTAAACAGTGCCTTAAGATATTTTAACTAGAAATGACCCTTGGCGTTGAAATTAATCATCACCTGTCATGTATGTATGGTCAAAAGTCCACTGCCACCGTAAGACTACAATCGGTTATACACACACCCACGCATATTTATATCCGTGTGCGTACGCGTGCGTGTGTTTATACGTACGCACGCGTTTTTATGCACATTAATATGAAACTAGCTTTTACCCGCAGCTTTGCTCGCGTCACTAAAGGATAAAAAGCCAATGTGACATATACCAATACACACAGCGCCATCTATACCAATACTTTGTTTTCCCTCGGGAATATCAAATTTTTTCGGGATAAAAAGTACCCTATTATTTAATCCGGACTTCTAACTATACATTTGCAAAAATTCAAAGCAATCGGTGTAGTAGTTACGGCGTTAAAGTGGAACAAACAAACAAACTCACTTTCCGATTTATAATATAAGTAAGGAAGTAAGGATTACTTACGCATTGCCGTGTGAACATCACTCACGGTGGCAGTGGACTTTTGACCTTTGACTGTACATAACAGCCCCGTACTGTTCCCTGCCCCCCACAGTCCTCCGCCAATGACTACACATAGCGAGGTTAGAAAGGACTATCGTCTGCAAATTTATTACCGATCTTTGTCGAATATCTCTTTATTGATGTCTAAAATCATAATATAGATGGTCGCGTAGACCTATGTCCTTCTCCGTACTCCGAACTATAATGTATGCAAAATTACAAGAAGATTTCTTAAGTTGATAAAGCGCAAAGAGGTAACTAACATACTTTCGCATTTAAAATATTTGCTAGGATAATAAAATAACATCTTTTAGTAAATATACTCTCTCACAGAACACCGACGTGAAACAACGCTTGCGTTGTGTTTCGTCGTGTGAGTGAGGTTACCTAAGGCCAAATTATCCTCCCCTCTCCCCCAATCCCTGAATCCCCAACAATTCTCAAATTACTAATCCCTAAAAGGCCGGTAACGCACTTGTAACGCCTCTGGTGTTCCAGGTGTCTATGGTCGACGCCGATTGCTTACTATCAAGTGATCCGTCTGCTCGTTTACCGGCTTACCCCATATAATACCTCAAATTCAGGAGGATTTCAGTAAATCTTCTTAATGCTCCCCTACACTCCCCTAGCACGCTACATGTCACACAGCTTGCTACGCGCAGTAGTTATAGCTGTGTACAGTCCGTTACTTTCTGTCAGCAGTAATAGAAGTTTTATATTATTTTTATTTGCTTTTCCAAGACATTTAAGGCCTAAATAATAATCAAAATCAATTACTTATAAGTCTAATCAAGCTGGTCTTGATATTTACTAACAACTTTAGTACAATTTCTAACTTTTTGAAATCATAATCTGCATCTAGAAATATTTTTAACACATTTTTAAGTCTTATGTGATTGTATCAAATATTTTCCACTATACTTAGGCTGAAGATCGATGTGAAATATTTATAAGCGAACCATGAAGATAAGACTATATCTGTCCGCAAAAATTAGCATATTTCTATGCTTCTATAGTTATTGTCATCACTCAGAACTGTCGGTAAATAGAGTGAGATAGAGGGCGGGAGTGTGTTACGGCGGAATTATACACACGTAGTTCTTTTACCCTTTTGGTTAATTTGCAAACATCTCACATCGATCTTGGCCCAGTATAGGAGGCTAATGTATGAATGCTGTTTCGAAATGTAAAAGGATATTTTCGTAACTTATTTGTGCTCACAAAGAACTGATTTAAATAGTATTTTGTTAAGTGTTTTCTTAAATAAATGTGTTATCTTTAGTATTTTTGTGTTTTATTCTATCTGCTCTTGAGTATATGCAATAGCCTCACCCCTATTACATGGGACTCATAACATAAATAGTGAAAAGTGGGCATTGTACAGTGGTATTAGGTGCTGTAATGTGCATCTGCCTATCCTTACAGGGATAAGATCGTGGTGGCAGGTTTAAGACGCCCGAATCTCATGCATGCATGCACACCAACGGCGAAATACCAATGTGACTTTTTCCGAGTTATATGTACTTTCTAATTTTATTTAGACACCACTGACAAACGGTGAAAGAAAACCTGTACATAATTCTAATTACCTATAAGTTTGAAATGACCAACCCGCATTGAGCAAGCGTGGTGATTACTGCTCAAACCTCCTTCTCTCCGTGTGAGAAGAGGCTTTACTCAGCAGTGGACACTTATAGGCTGTTGATGATGACACTTGATTAGAAGCACTTACAACAGACGAGCATGCATGAAGAGACTGACAAATATAGATGAAGCGAAAGATATGTCAGTATCGTGGCATTATGTCAGTAGTACTGAAAACTTGTGCACCTGAGTTAGCTTCAATCCTGACACGTCTGTTTCGCCTATCTTTGGAGACTGGTCAAGTGCCGAAAGCATGGAAGCTGGTCAACGTGCAACCTGTGCCTAAAAAAGGTAGCCGTGCCGACCCTAATAACTATAGACCTATCTCGATCACGTCCATACTCTGTAAGAGTATGGAACGTGTACTGAATAACAGGCTCCTGGCATACCTTGAAGGTAACGATCTCCTTAGTCATCAGCAATACGGATTTCGCCGAAACCGATCTACTGGGGACCTTCTTGCATATGCCACCCACATCTGGAGCGAGGCCATCGAGAAACAAGGGGAAGCGTTAGCCGTATAGCTCGATGTCTCGAAGGCCTTCGACAGGGTCTGGCACGATAGTCTTGTTGGCAAGCTTCCCGCATATGGACTCCCCACTGGTTTGTGCAGATGGATAACAGACTTCCTGAGGGATCGATCCATCTGTGTGGTCATTGACGGCTGCTCATCCAATCCACTTGGTATTAATGCCGGGGTTCCTCAGGGGTCAGTACTCTCAGCAACACTTTTTCTGTTGCACATTAATGATCTGCTCCAGCCCGGTATCTTTTGGTACGCAGATGACAGCACCGTTGTTGAGAGGTATGTGTCCGATGCGCGAACCAGTGCAACTCAAATCCAGTCTCTGAGAGAATCTATGGTAAATCGTCTGAACCTGTCCTTGCAGGCGGTCTCCGATTGGGGTGACGCCAATCTGGTCAGGTTCAATGCCAGCAAAACCCAGGCGTGTCTGTTTTCCGCTAAACGGAGTCGGTTCCCACTGACTCCTACTTTCCGAGGTGTGTCCGTTCCGATGGGTGACCGTCTCGAGCTTCTCGGCGTAACTCTGACGCCCACTCTCAATTTTGGCTTGTATATCGAGACAAAGGCGCAACTAGCTGGTGGAAAGTTGGGTTTCCTGTCGAGGGTGAGACGGCACTTCACGCCGGAGCAGTTGCTCACTCTTTACCAAACATAAGTTCGGTCTTGTATGGAGTACTGCTCCCATCTTTGGGATGGCTCAGCGAAATACCAGTTAGAAGCCCTCGAATCCATCGAGAGGCGTGCCAAGAAGCTCATCAATGACGATTCGCTTGTGGAGGCTCGGCTACAAAGCTTCGAACACAGGCGCAAAATCGCAAGCCTTTCGGTCTTCTATCGGATACATTTCGGTGAGTGTGCGTGGGAATTGCACAAACGTGGCACAAACTTATTCCCCCTAGTCCATTTCACCACCGTACCACCAGACGAACGGCGGGACGCCACCCTTATATGGTGGACATTCCACCCATTCGAACGAAGCGTTTCGCGTCAAGCTTCCTCATGCGAACCGCTAAGGAATGGAATTCCTTGCCAGAGGCTGTGTTTCCCGTCAAATATGACTTGGGTGTCTTCAAGTCCCGAGTGAACAGGTTGCTCATAGGTAGGCGTGCTCCATCGTCGGCCACATCATCGCTTACATCGCGAGATGGTGGTCAAACGTCGACCTATAAAGTGTAAAAAAAAAATATGCACCCAAATAGGAGGCGGGTTGACGATTATCTTCATATAATTTTAGATTTTGTAAGATTTCTTTAGTAGGGAGACAAGCTGACAAGTGTGCGTTACCCAGGCCAGATGTTGTCGAAAATGGTCATTTGAATCTTATAGATAGGAACATTTCCTGCTGGGGTACCGTTACCCCAGCCAGACCTTTTTCTTTCTAAAGGAGAACGGCAGATTTTGTACCGCTTCGCTAAAAAAAGATTTGTCATTAAAAAATTGGGTCATTATAGAACCTCCTAAGTACGTTATGTTAGCATATTTAATAGATTTTTAAAACTTGGGAAACCCTAGAAAAACTGATATTCAATAATGATAAAAAGCAATCCACTATACGTAAAACGAACCGCGATTGACGTTTACAAAGTTGCCATGCGTAAAGATGAAATCAGAGCATATTGAATTTCGCTATTTCATAAACT